ATAATTGAATTCTGCTTAACAAATTTATAAAAACAGTAGATATTGAAAATCATTGAATTGCAAAAAGTTTTTAAAAATAATTAAATTTTACAAAGATTTTTGACAATAACTGAATGTCTGTATTAAATTTTCTTAAAAGTATTTGAATTTCTAAAAAACATTTTATTAGTTTATGAAAATAATTGAATTCTTGCGAACGATTTTATTAGAATTTTTTAAAATAATTGAATTTTCCAAGCAGAAATTTATTAGATTACTTTTAAAAATAATTAAATTCTTCTAATGAATATTGTTATTTATGAAAATAATTTAATTTTCCAAAGAATTTTATTAAATTTTTTAAAAAGAATTGAATTTTCGGGAATAGTTTTGTTATTTATCAACATAATTTAATTCTTTCAAAGATTTATTTATGTAAATAATTGAAATCTTAAAAAGAATTTGATTAAAAACTAAAAGAATAATTAAATGATTTCAAAAAAAATTAATTAAAATTGCATTTTAAATAACGTATTTCTTTCGATCAATTTTATTAAAATATTTGAAAATAATTGGATTTCTGTGAAAAAAGCTAATATTTTTGTAAATAATTGAATTGTTCCAAAGAATTTAAAAAAACATTTTTTTAAATAATCCCGTGTAGAAATCACCATGCTATGCCTAAAATGATTATTGGCCCTAGCTTGGACCTAACTTGGCAACCCCTTTTTATATATCCTGGGCTGGTCCTAACTTGGTACTAGCTAGGAGATCCAGTTATGACTTAGAAAAATTTTTAGGAAAATAAAGTGTCAAAATTGATACATGAAAAACATGTAAAAATTGATAAATATTCTCAATTAATATTTATAAAATTAATTGATAATCATATTTGTTTAAACAATTTATTGTTTGACATAAATCAGAAAATTATACAAATATTATAAAATAAAGTTAATTTATTAATTTATTAATTCAGCAATTGTTTAAACAAATAATTGTTATTTACTAACTTTTTACACAATCAACCTAGAAACTAGCAGTTTTTTCTAATTTTGCAATAAGTAAATACTCAGATTAGTTAATTGCAAAACTTTAAAAGACTACAAGTGTCTAGATGCTTTATTGTCTTAAGAATTAATAAATAACAACAATTTTTTGTTTAAACAAATGCTGAATTGTTAAAATTATAAATTATCTTCATATTTCACTACTCAAGTGTAATAATCGCGAAGTTAGATAAAAAACTGCAAATTTTTAAGTAATTTGTTACAAAAGTTAATAAAACAGCAAAATTTATTTATTTATTTAAACAGATACAGACTGCAATATAATTATCATTAGTAAAATATATTTCTAATTTCGTTCGCTGATTTTGAGTTTCGTTTAAGTTGGTGCTAAACACTAAGAGATATTGCAATTCGAATGTGGGCTGACCCACCCAGGTCCAACCCAGGACCTACCTGGGCTTCCTAGTTTCATTAGCAAAAATTTCTAAGTCCAAGTCTAAAAAAATTTTTGCAACAAAAAATTAATGCTTAAAATGATTTAGAATAATGAAAAACGTGTTTTTAACATAAATTTTTTTGACATTTTTTTAAAAAGTGGATCACCCGCTTAATTAATTAGGAAAAATTTCCAAGTCCAAAAGACGAATATTTTTTTTAGACCAAGAAATTAATGTTAAAAATGATTGAGAACAATGAAAAACCTGTTTTTAACGAAAATGTATAGATATTTTTTTTCTTGATATAATATAAAAATATTAATTTTTGAATTTTTATATTTGGATATTATTTTATTATTATTGTCGTTGTTAAACTATTTTTTTTATTTATTATCGTGTATTAGTGTCAATAATTACTATATTGAATCATCAAAAGCAAGTCCACAAGTCACTGACAATAAAAATTTTCATCTCAACTAGTTTCATTAGCATAGTGGTTAGGGCGTTAGTCTCGTAGTCCGTAGGTCGTAGGTTCGATTCCCGCGTGCGTTAGATTTTATTTACTTCTTAGGTTTGCGTTTATTCCGATTTTTCTGCATTGTATTCGTATAAGTATGCAATTTAATGATTATATATACTGTAAAATAATTTAATTAACAAATTTCTAATTTTTTTTATAATTTTTAATGTATATATTAGAGGAATATATATTAATCTCTACATATACTAACATTATTTATGAATTCGCTTTTGGTCATCACTTAATTGAAAAAAATTATAATTAATTAAAACTAATACTTATTATTAATAATTTAGGTTATTTCTTTAACAAATATTATTAACTAATTAAAATTATAATGAAATAGAAAATACTGTCTGAGATGGTCCTTTCTAGGTCCTAAAATGGACCCATAAACTGGTCCTAACTAGGCTCCCAAGTTAGGACCAGACTAGAATCGCATCACCACCCATTGTTGGTCCAACCTACACTGCCAACCTAGGACCAAGCTATTAACAGGGCAAAATAGGTAGGACCTGGCTAGGACCAATTTTCATTTTCCACACGGGATTTATTTTTTCGAGGAATTGAAATTAAATTTTTAAGAATAATTAAATTTATTTTTTAAACATCATTCTTCATAAATTGTATTAAAAATAATTGAATTTTTGCGAACGATATTATTAACATTTTTTTAAATAATTGTATTTCTGAGGAAATATTTATTACTTTTAAAAATTATTGAATTCTTTTGATGAATATTGTTATTTATGAAAAAAATTTAGTTTTGCAAAGACTTTTATTAAATTTTTTAAAAAGAATTTAATTTCTGTAAAAATTTTGTTATTTTTGAAAATAATTGAATTCTTTATAAGAATTTTTTAAACATTGTTTTAAATAATTCATTTTTTTTTTTGAAATATTTAATAAATATTATGAAACTCATCTTATTTTAAATAATTGAATTATTGTGCTAAACTTCTTATATTTTGGTAAATAATTGAATTCTTCCAAAGAATGTTAAAAAACATTTTTTTCAAATAATTGATTTTTTCGAGGAATTGAAATCAAATTTTTTAGAATAATTACATTTCTTAAGCAATTCTTGTCAAATAGTATTAAAAATAATTGAAATCCTGCGATGAATTTTATTATTTATGAAAATAATTGAATAATTGCTAAGAATTTTATTAACATTTAGGAAAATAATTGAATTCTTGAGAAGAATTTTATTATTTATGAAAATAATTGAATTCTTGAGAAAAATTGTGTTATTTTTGAAAATAATTGAATTATTGCGAAAAATTTTATTAAAATGTTTAAAAATAATTTTCTCAAAGTAATTGAATTCTTTAGTAGAATTTTATAAACATTGTTTTAAATAGTTAATTTTTTCAAAATATAATAAAAATTATAAAAATTTTATTTTAAATAAAATTGAATTAGTGTGAAAAACTTTATTTGTGAAAATAATTGAATTTTTCGATTTATTAATTGAAAATAGTATTAAAAATAATTGAAATTCTTCGATGAGTTTTATTATTTATAAAAATAATTGAATTCTTGCTAAGAATTTTATTAAAATTTTCAAAAATAATTGGATTTCGGAAAAGAATTTTGTTATTTATGAAAGTAATTGAATTATTGTGAAGAATTGTATAAAAATTTTATAAAATAATTGAATTTTTTGAAATTTTTTTTTGAAAATTCTATTCTAAATTAATAATTGCATTCATGTGGAGATTTTATTATTTATGAAAATAATTGAATTTTGGATGGATTTTATCAATTTTTTTTAAAAAATAATTGAATTCTTTTTTGGAATTTCATGAATATTTTATATATTTAAAATAATTGAATTTGTAATATTTTTTGAAAATAATTGAATCGTTTTAAAAAATTTAATTATGATTTTTGAGAATAGTTTTTTGATTTCTAGTACTAGCGAATTTAAAGTAAGTGGAAATTGTCAAAAAAAACAGAAATAGTATCTTTTAGTGGCTGAAATCTAAAAAAAAGTATCCAAATAGTAGCATAACGTAAAAAAGTAGTAAATGCCCATACTTAGCCAGACATTCAAATTGACTAGAAATGTGATGTAAAAATGATGATTTTCGAGTGTTGCAATTTTTCCATTGTAATTTTTGTTGCTCTTTATTTGAACATTTAGAAATGAAGTTAGAGTGACAGCCCTTGTTTAACTGCACATGTAAACGCGATACAAATACTGAAGCCACCACCCATGTTTATTTTTAACGCATTTCAAATTGAGTAGAGTGCGCGACTCAATTTTAAACCCAGGACTTTTTTACTGTACGTCCATAAAAAGGTAGAAAGAATCTTATTTAATAACACGTATAAAAAAGGAACAATGATGGCACCTAAATGAAATTGCGAAGTGCGGATGGCGAAGTGAAAAGTTGTAAGGTTTACTTTATACACAGTGTCAGACCCCGCGGGACGTCGTTGAGCTCGTTACTGCTTTGTACTTTGTACTTAGATTTTACTATACAGTGGCAGTTTCGTGTCCCAACGTCATTTGCAGGAATACTACTTGGTTCGTGCGTGCTTGCATTTGTTAAAGGACCTTCCCACTTAATGTGAGCAAAGGGTATTTACAAACTAATAATGGAAACCTACACAGTAAACGGAATGCAAAGTATCAGATACAAAACTGTTACAGTTTAACTATGAAACCGGAAATTACTCCAGACAAATAACTAAGGAAATAAAAGACGTTACTTACTACCTTAAATAAACTACTTTTGGTCATTAAGCTTATGATGCTTGTATTTCTTCCTGAATAGTGAATTAGAACAGTTTTTTAATTTTCTGTTCATCCGGAAGTTGTAAACATTTGAATATCTGCATTTTGAGAGAAGTAACAAGGATATTAGAAAGGTTTATTAATCAGAGTGTCATTCGACAATCTGAGGGTATGTTTCGACCTCGGTTTCGACACAAGGAAGCGTAAAGTAGTTATTCCAATCTAATCCAATACTTTTTGATAAAGTCAACTTATTGTAATTCTTCATTATGGTTTATGGTGAATAATTATTTCTCAAAGTAAAATACCTTGGTTTTGGCTGCATGAAAGTCATCGGCGATGTTTCTGAGATTAGCGCCGACGGTAACCCATTTCCTCTCCTTGAGCGTTGCACTTAAGTTTAGGTGACCTGAACAGCAAGAACTGTTGCATTTCTTTGAGTCTGAAGGTCCTTTATCAGGGATTGCACTTTCGGATGTTAATCGACGCCTTCGTGGTTTGGGTCGTGGACTCGGTACTGGAACATTGCACTCTGGAAACTGGAATGCTGCATCTCTTGTTGGACTGTTTGGTGCCGAGACAGTTACTTGAGGAGTAGATGCTGGAAGTTGTTCCACAGCTGAGAGCACTAAGTCTGGTAGAGGCAATCTAGACAAATCGGAATCTACCAGAACAATAGACCGCTCTCGAGATCCAGGAACGTCACCTGATCGACGTGGTAACCGATCTGAAAATAGACAAATTATAATCATTAAACTCTCCAAGAAATCAAAATAACATTAGGATATAATAGAGTAAAGATTTTTTTTAGGATATAATAATATACATTTGTATAAGTCTAGGTAAAAATTATACAAATAAAAACTGTATGTGTGTTACTGCGTTGTTTATAACAGATAAAATAATAAAATTTTTTACGCACTGCTCTAAGGAAATAGTTTATTCTGTGTGTAAGTGAAAAGATTAATTTATCTTAATAGCGATAAGTTTATCGATATAGGAACAAAATTAGACTGTATCTACTTTTTTACTTGAATATGGTGATTACAGTTATAAGGATGCGAATAAAGCGATAAGTTCGATGTATGACCTCGCGATAAGAGGTAAAAAAAAAATGTAAAATAAGATTAAATGTCCCGTTGACAGTTATGCACTTTGCTAAATTCCGACGATCTCTTTACCCAATTACACAAAAATAGTATAATAGTTACTTTCAACTTTTCTGCACAAAAGATGAAAAATAAAATATGAATTGGAATTTAGTTTTAATATTATTATAACTATAATAATCATACATTCTGAGACAGGGAATTTGGGCAAAAGTCATGGATTTTTATTAAAAGTAGTGGAAAAAATTAAATTTTTAGAATTTATAAACAAAATTCTCAATTTTTGTGTTTTTTTTGTTTGCTTCATAAACTATGAATTTACCACGAATTCTAATATACAAACTTTAAATTTTTCTACTTTTTTCTATTTCTGACAATAATTTAATTTCAAATAAAATTCTTGAACAACTATATAATAAAATAAATAAATTATTTAATGAATAATTTTACTTAAATTATTTCAAAATCAATTCAATTTTGAAAGAGTTGCGTTTAAAATTTTCATAAATAAATTATCTTCAAACGGTTTCAATTTGAACTTTTAGAAAATTTCAATTTTGAATAAATTCAATTAGAAATTTTAATCAACTTAGATTTTTGAAAATTTTTCTGAAACTAGGTAAATTTTTTAATAGGTATTTAATTAATTATTAAAAATAATGTATGCATAGAAGAATTTTAGTTGGAAACATTAAAAAAAATTTAATTTTGGAGAAGTTACAAATAATTTCAAAAATTCAATTATTTTCAAAAGTAATAAAATCTTTCGCAGAAATTCAATTATGTTCAAAAATTTTTAAATATTCTCGTCAAAATTTCAATAATCTTTATAAATAATAAAAAACCTTCTCCAAAATTCAATTATTTTCAAAAATTTATAATAAAATTCGTCTTCAAAATTCAATTATGTTAAAAAATTATTAAATATTCTCGTCAAAATTTCAATTATTTTCAAAAATATAAAATTCTTCTTCAAAATTCAATTATTTTCAAAAATTTTAATAAAATTCTACGCAGAAATTCAATTATGTTCAAAAATTATTAAATATTGTCGACAAAAATTCAATTATTTTCAAAAATATAAAGTTCTTCTTCAAAATTCAATTATTTGAGTCATTCCATTATATTTCGACTAAAGTCGTTGCTGACTAATTTTAAAAAATTATAATATTTGGCAGGAATGATGTTAAAGATATTTTTTTGAGTATGTTGTAATTATATTTTTAGTATGAATTGGAATATTCTTTAAAAGTAAAAGTTTGGTCTGGTAATCAGGGAAAAACAAAATAAAAATTTTTTTGGCAACCCTGATTGAGTGTACAAATTTTTAAAAACTAACGTTTTTTTAGATTTATAATTTCAATAGTGAATAGTGCGAATTATAATTGAAAAAATTTGAAGCCAAAATAAAAATATATTGTCTCCATTTTCTTTTGTTTTGGTTTTTTAAAAACTTTACGGACTTCAGCGTCATGAAATACATGCGGAGAATAATTAAATGTCAATAGTGGTGAATCTAGAGAAGGGGTTGCGAACCCTCTCTGGGGGCGAAAAGTTCAAACTAAAAAAAGGTTACATGGTCGACGAATGCCGCATTCGAGGATGACCCTCTGCAGCAAAAGAATGGGATCTGCCACTGAATGTCAAATCAATGAACACCTCACTTAAAAGGTTTTCAGGCAAGTTTTTTCGTTAAACCCTCTAAAATAAGGTTTAAAATAGGTACTTCTCGAATTAATAATTTTCAAGATGAAATTCAATTACTTTTCTTCACTATGAAATGAACGCAGTGAATTGTGAGGTATTAAAAAGCGTTGCCGATTAAATTAACACCAAAAAGGATTTTTTAAATCCTTTTTGGTGTTATTTTAACACCTCACGATTTACTGTGTAAAACATTTGAGTAAAAAACATTTTAGGCGTGATATGTCTACACGAGAATAGATGAAAAATAAACATTAAATTGAAGTACCAATTTGCTTTCACATTTATACTGTTTTATGGAATAAATAGATAAGATCGTATGATTTAGATAACGTGTGACTTATGACATTTTGTCGGAAAAGTGGGAAAGTGTTTTCTTCGGAAATGCCTACGTAAACATGTGCATTTTGCAAGCTTAGAAAAGTGGTTTCATCGGATTGGACTTCATGATAGTGTAGTTGATCGAATATAGGTGACGATGTGGTAAACCTCGTTGCACAAGTGAAAGAGCTGTGGACTCAAAATGTCAAGGATGCCACCACGTGCAAGTACGTAATGCACAATGATACCTGGAGGCGCAAGAATTGTTATTTTGTCACACACGCCTCGTGCGAGTAATAAGCAGCATAAATAATATTATGTCTAGATAGAAAAAAAATCACAAAAGATACAAGTACCAATATTTTTCATCCATTATAAACTTTTGCGACATTATTTTCTGACTAATGTATTTTTTTGTCCTTTTCTTTATGCGGTATGGTATAGTAGCATAAAACTCAAGTTTTTAATTTTCTCTAAATATTTTGGAGAAGGATATATTTATTTTTTGTAAATTTTACAACTGCGAGATCGAGCTTAAGAGACAAAGTTATACACACATCTTTTGTAATTATTATACCTATCAAGAAAAACAATAAATTCACGATGAGATCAAGCTTAATCAGGCTCGATTAAGGCTCGTTCAGTGTTGAATGAGGGTGGATGAGACGCAGTGAGAGCAAATCTGCTTCAAACTGAAATGTTAATTGTAATACAGTTTCTTGCATTAAATGGTACCTACCATTTAATGGTAATTTAAGGCTGGTTATTAAATAGCAAGTTGAGATCAATATTGTATAAGTTTGAACCATGTTGAGAAAATCATACTCTGTTTAATTTTTTTCTCATATTGCAATTTATAAAACGTTAATCAATGAAAATGATAATAATAATTATGTTTATATTATACTTAATATAAACAAGTTAAGTTGTTTGTACTTTAATTACTAGTTGTACAAGACTGATAAAGGCAATTTTTTATAAAGATAATTTTTCATTACTACTAACACAACTATTTAAAAGGAAGCCTCTATAACCGCAACAAAGAATCACCACATTGTGATCTCGTCATTCAAGGCTAGTAATACTCTCTCTCTCTCTCTCTCTCTCTCTTTCTTTCTCTCTCATTGAATTCATACACGGAAAAATTAGTTGCTTACAACTTTAAATGCTTTTTAGTGAAAGAGTCTTATACGTAGACGAATATTTTTAATAATAAGCTTAAAAAAATGGAAAAATTAAAATTTAATAAAAATAATAAAAAAAATAATATCCAAAAAAGAAAATTAATCAAAGTAAAACAAAAATTTAAAAAAATTTAATTATTCTATAAAATGACGCAAATGTTAGTTAACGAGCCGCAAATAATAAGACTCAAACTCTTGAAATGCTCAACGATACATGTTTAGATAATGTTTTTTTTCTTTTTCTCTTTTTATACGTACAAAGAAACAATTATTTTCTTGTTTACATAAATTAGATTTAACTTATAAAAATAAAGTTTACGTACATTATATCAAACAATAAGTATTTTTGTAATGGAAATTGACAATTAAATTTTAAAAGGATAAATTAAATGCTATAGGTTTGCTTTCATGTTAATTATTTTACAATTTTTATTTACATAAAAATTAAATTCTCATTTATATCTACTACAAACTACTTTAAAATTATTTTCAAAATTATTTTCAAAATTATTTTCTAGAATTTTTAACTTAAAATTCTTCTCTAAAGCAACTATTTTTGGATTATTAAATAATTTTTAAAAAATTTCTTTGAAAATTTTCAAATACATTTTTGATAGGAATTCAATTAAAAAAAAAATTAATTTTAGAGAAATTATTAATTAAAAGTACGAAAAATTCAAATTTTCAAATATTTTAATTTGAAACATTTCCAAAATTCAATTATTTCTAAAAATTTAAGCTATAATGCATTTTATATTCAATTTATTATCTAAAATTTAAACTAAAATTCATTACTTAATTAATTTTTATTGGAAAATTCTACGACAATTCAATTATTTAAATACAAAAGTAAAGAAGTTATTGAATAATTGAATATTTATTAAAATTGAATTCTAATAAAGAATGTTATCAACAAATTTTCAAATAATTGAATTCTTTCGAAGAATTTTAATAAAATTTTTAAAAATACATTACATTTTTTGAGGAATTTGATTAAAATTGAATTAAAAATAATTGAAATCGTACAATGAGTTTTAGTTATTATAAACATAATTGAATTCTTGCAAACAATTTCATTATTTATGAAAATAATTGAATTCCTAAAAATAATTATATTTATTTAAGAAAATAATTGGATTCCTGTAAAAAATTGTATTATTTATAAAAATAATTGAATTTCGGAGAAGAATTTTATAAAAATTTTTGAAAATAATTGAATTTCGAAGAAGAATTTTATATTTTTGAAAATAATTGAAATTTTGACGAGAATTATAAAAAAATTTTTAATATAATTGTTATATTGCGAAAAATCTTATTAAAATTTTTGTAAATAATTTAATTTCGGAGAACTTTTGAAGATAATGGAAATTTTGACAAGAATTAAAAAAAATTTTTGAATTTTATTAAAA